ACCTAGTAATTGTGTTTCGGTTGACGAACATTTGTGTTCTTATAAAGGGCATATGTGGGCTAAGGTGTTTATTAAGTCTAAGCCTGGACGTTATGGTATAAAGTTTTGGGTTTGTTCTATTTTTACCAAATGAGTTTTATTTATGATGTCAACAATGACGTATAGTTATTATTGGTTTGATATGTATGATCAAATATAATAATTTAATTATTCGTTTATTTGAGTTTTTTATAGTTTTCTTACTTGTAGATGTGTGCTGATTGTGAGACAGGAATGACTCTGAACCTCCAAATGTACTGTGGTAAGTGTGGTGGTAAAGAGGACAATCAAGGCTTTAGAGTGGTCAGGGACATGGTGCTACCCATGTTATGCCGTGGTACCAAGTTCACTGTGGTGTGTGACAACTTCTTCTGTACGTTAAGGTTGTCACACTAGCTTGCTTCATGTGGGTGCCAACTTTTGGGAACCATGAGGATCAACAGGAAAGAACTCCCTGACGAAGCAAAGACCATCAAAGGAAGAACTCCCGATACCACCATCTTTTTCTCGAAGGGAAAGTGTAAGCTTATATCTTACTTCAACGAGAAAAAGAAGTTGGTATTGGTATTGTCAACCTGCCACGAAAAGAATGAAATTGAAGTCGTCGAGCAGGACGTGTTCATTGGCAAAGACAAACTGACAATACACAAACCCCAGCCCATTCTTGACTACAACCACAAAATGGGTGGGGTTGACACTGTTGATCAGATGACCCGGTACTATACCTGTAGACGTCGAACCAACAGGTGGAACATCAGGGCTTTATATGATATGATTGATATAGCTGCCTTAAACGCGTATAAAACGTACTCAAATTACCACCCTTGTAAACGGGTAGATTTTTGAACAATCTTTTTGGTGCTTTAATGAAAATGAACTGATTTTTCTATTTTGTTTAGTTTTTTTTTATAAAGTAGGAACTGTTTATTTCATTCAATACGTGCTTTTTTATTGAACCTCGAAAAAAATTATCGTGAAATAAAATAAAAATAGGGGTCATTATACCATTTTTTTAACTTATGAATAATCTTTTGAAAACTCGTGTTATAACGACATCGTGATGTCGTTACTCAACACCATAAACAATCGTTGGTAAAGTATGTGCATGAGTATTATGGTGATAACGGTGTTATAATGGTGTTTGTTGTTAATTCTGTAAAATTGTAAACATATTATTTCAAAACTATAATTTATTAAATTTCAATTTTTAATATATAATATTTTTTATAATATAATATAGTTAAAAAAAATTTTTAATATTTGTTAAGTTTTTTGCTATTTGTTTTTTTGTTTATAATTTCATTATCTCTATACATTTACTATAAGTTTTTTGTTAGTTGCCCAAAAATGCATAATTTAAAAATGCATAAACAGTAAATGCAAAATAAGCATTTGATTACCATATACAATAACATTTATATAAAAATGATAATATCAAATCAATTTTGCCCTTCGTTTTTGTTTGAAAATGATAAAAAAATAAAATAACAAATAATGAATTCATATCTTGCTTCTTTGACAGTGGCACGACGTGAAATTTAATGGATGACCATAAAACCTCGTGGTGATCAAAGTTTATTTAAACGCGACTATATTGACTGTTTAAGTCATTTTTATAAATTTTTCTCGATTTTGCGATTTTTGATACTTTTGAAA